TATATATATATATATATATATATATATATATATATATATATATATATAAAGGAAAAAATAAATAAATAAATGATAAAATGAGGGTATGTCAAATGGGGAACTAGGGCATTCAGAGAAAAAAAATCAAGTATCCCAGGAAAGCAACCCTCATAATTTCATACATCACTTTACAGAACAACAGTTTATATCCAAGAGTGAATGAATTAAAAGGGCTGCCCCTCATTCTAGATGTGGGCATCCCAGCAAAGCCATCCAGAGGTCAGAGCCTGCAGCTCATTTTCAAAATAAAGCAATGCTCCCAACATCTTGTTCTTCTGGCAATGACAGGACTACTAGAAAACAACTGGGCTGGAAAAACCATTTTCACAACACTCTGTATTAGTTTAGTTTTAGTCATGCAAAGTGTTCTCATTGTTTAAACATTTAAACATGATATTCTGTTCAGATGTTATTTAAAGGTGATCGTAAAAATCATACTGTAGGTTTATTTTATCTGGATGGACCTGGACTGTTTAAAGTTTGCACATTGCATGCTATGGAGATGGGTTCTTTCACACCTCAATGAGACAGAAATGAGCTAAATGTGCAAGCAGAGCTCCTTAGGCATTTAACTGCAGGTAAACGAGAACTGCCAGCTGCTTCGCTCCTCTAAATAGTCATAAAACTCAGCTCTTTCATTTCATCTTAACTAATTAGGATGATGAAATCTGGAGCAATATTTGCCTGCAAAATTCTTCCAGGCAATTTGAGCTCTTGGGCAAAAAAAAAATCTACGATGATGAAAAGGTGAAGAGGGAGGCAGTAAGACAGGCTGTGGGGTGCACAACCGAATCAGGCTGCAGGAGAGTCCAACATCGAGGACAAAATCACAGTTTGGTCATTTGTGAATGTTTGTTTAATTTGTTTGTTGAACTTTGAGCAGTGGAAGCTTTAGGTTGAAGTATTTCCAATATCAAAAGTACAGTAAGGAGTACATAGCTAATTTATCCACAATTTAGTCTTTTAAAAAGTTGGTGCAGTGTTTTTTTTTCTTGCTTTGCTTTTTATGGTAAGGCCTCTGTCGGGTACTTCTGAGCAGTGAGCTCACCTTAGAGTTAGCAGCAGTCAGGGGCAGTGGCGTCCACAAACTTTTTGAAGGGCAGGAGCAGAAAGAAAAAGAGCACATGTAGCGCATCCTCAGCACTGTAGAGGGCACTTCAGTTTGGAGTAGAAACCTAAAGATAAAGACTATGGCTGAATTCTAATTCATCCTCCGGCTGCATCCTCCGAAGGCCAGATTGGTAGGCCGATTACGTCATAGTGCAGCTCCCAGGTCTACTCGGATTCCAAGACTCCTCATTATGTGGCAGACAAATGCATTCTTCTTTATGCTCGATTTGTAGGATGGGGTGTATCCTAACTGAAAAAATAAAAAAGAAGTTAGCTGATTTTAAAATTTATTTCACTATAATATGAGAAAAAAGTCAGAATTCTGACTTTAATCTTAGAATTCTGACTTTTTTCTGAGAATTCTGACTTAAATCTCAGAATTTTGGATCGTAATGTAGATGGGCATCATGAAAGAAGAGATGTGGAGCACGCAGCTTCACTGACAAAGTTGTTTGATAACACATTGGTGGAAAATGACAGAATTAGGCGACGATTTACGTGATGCGAAGCTATTTAACACAAAGATGCTATTTAAACAAAAGACCTAGTTTAGTCTTTATAGCAAACATGGCAACGGCTTGATGCTAACGCTGTTTGTTAGTATCAAGCAGAATTCAGTCAGAATTCTGAGATGAGAGTAGGAATTCTGAGATTAAAGTCGGAATTCTGAGATTAAAGTCGGAATTCTGAGATTAAAGTCGGAATTCTGAGGTTACAGTTGGAATTCTGAGATTAAAGTCGGAATTCTGAGGTTAGAGTCGGAATTCTGAGATTAAAGTCGGAATTCTGAGGTTAGAGTCGGGATTATGAGATTAAAGTCAGAATTCTGAGATTAAAGTCGGAATTCTGAGGTTAAAGTCGGAATTCTGAGATTAAAGTCGGAATTCTGAGATTAAAGTCGGAATTCTGAGATTAAAGTCGGAATTCTGACTTTTTTTCTCATATTTGCTGAAATAAAATTTAAAAATCAGTTAACTTTTTATTTTTTCAGTGGCCCTAATCCTCTTCATTACATTTCATTGTAAAACTTTTAACTCCATGACTTTCTGGTGATCCTGTTCGGGTCTGAGCCTCCAGAGAGGGTGGGCAGAGCCCTCCGCAGCGCCGCCCTCACTCTCTCCCTGCCCGGCTCCTTCTCCTCCACGCTGCGCCCTGTCAGCCGCTCCTCTCCCGCCCCGGACTGGCTGCTCTCCGGTTCCTTTACTTAAACAATCAGCCACTGACCTTTCAGGATTTTTAATTTTTTTGGTGCCTTTTTTCATTGTTGCTTATTTTTATTGGATTTCCTTCGGTCCCTGGATGGAGCCATCCCCGCAGGATTCAGTGACTGACGCGGGAAGGAGTCGCTGTCAGACCGCTACAGCAGCCACGGAGACCCCGCACGCTGCGCCGGAGAGGACGCACAGCCGCTCCGGATCCTCCGGGTCCAGTCAAGGCAGAGGTAGGGCTGATTAGATCATCTGCCTAATAACCCATGAGCCAGGCTTCAAACACGCAGGCGAAGCGCAGAGATGATTCATTCTGTCCTCACTGACAGCAAACACTCCACTCTGTCTGGGAGACACTTGAACTTCTTCAATCAGCTGAAGGTCAGCCACAGGGTGCTGCCCACTGAGCTGCAAACCTTCAACTTTTTGTGCTGTAATCTATGAAATGCAATGCAAGTTTTCCTCTGGCTTGTTTCTAGTCACAATAAAACAAATTTCCAAGTAGCTTTAACCCACTATACAGTTGAAAAGTGGTCAGTTTCTTTGCAGAACTTGACAGAAATAGCAGTATGGATCCCATCTAAAGCCATTTGTTCATGCTGATGTCACCCTTATCTTTTATATCAGAAATAAACCTGCATTTAATCATGGATGGATAGATGATGCTTGCAGAGGATGGATAATCATGGAAGTATGTATGGTCAAAGAGATTTGTTGATCGGTAGATGAGTGAATTATGCATGGTTGGATTAATAGATTAATGGAAGGGTGAACAACAGCTCTCCCATTGGTGTTAAATGGTTTCAGGGCAGCCAGTGCATTAATGAGATTCATCATTTAATTGCCAACAATTAATTCAGCCTCTGTGTTCTGAATGTCCTCTGCTTCTCAGGGAAGTTTTGAAACTTTACTATAACTGCCATCCAAATAAATCCCATCATACCTGTCAGATCAGCTTCTGCACCTTATTAGAGTTCTCTGTTAGAAGTAATGGCACCCACACAGGAAGTGAAAGACAGCATGTGAGGTCACGTCCCCTGTGAGCCGCAGACTTTCCTGCAGCCTGTTATTGGTATGCAGGCAGAAGGAGAGGCGCTCAGATGGTGCTTCATTGAGTTTCTCAGGGCAGAGCTGGTTACGTAACAGCTGTTCAGGAGGAGGGGGGGGGATCACAGTGAGTGTGTGTGAGCTGTGTGGAAGTGGAGAAGAGTGGATCGCCTTTCTCTCACTGAGACATTCAGCTGCAGGAGGGATCGCAGAGAAGGCCATAGCAAAGTAAATACAGACGGATAAATCAAACTTTGGGAGGGGCAGACGCTGAGTTTGGTCCTTTCAGCTCCTGGATGTTTAGCCAGATAGAAACAATCACAGGATTGTTTGTTATTCTCACAGAATATAGATGACTTCTCATTTGCACCTAAACTTCCTCTACGTCAACCTATAGCATTTGAAATATTTAAAGCATGCCCTTATTTCCAAACAGCTTCAGAAAGATTATAAAAGTTAGAACTCAGATGTGATCTTTACATAAAGCTGTGAACAAAAAAAGGCTCTGATTCGTTATTTCAATGTTTCAAGCTGGATTTTTAACATTGGTCATTATCATAGGTCACATAGAGAGTTTTTTGGTTAACCTTTGGTCCTGAGGCAGCAATGCATTCCTCACTGGTTCCGTTTCTCTAATGCTGTGTTGGTTCTGCACCTTTAACTGAATGCACAGCCTTTCTTTGAGGTCAGTTTACAGAATGTTTTCCCAATTGTCTTTGGGATCATTTGATGTGACATGGGCCTTTCTTTTCTTCTGAGTCCAAGGAAACGTGTGGTGATGCTCGTTTCAATCAAACCTAGAGGACAAAGCTGGAAGAATTGGTTAAGGAACGTCACAATATTACAGGCTCATATATAGCTACTAAAATTAGTAAAAGCAAGGCCCATATTGGTTTTTGATAGAATGAATATTTCTTTAAACAGGAGGTCTTATTATTCCAAATAAACAGTTTTATAGATTTATTAAAGCATTTTAGTGGAATATAAATCTGGACATACTGAAAGACATAGAGGAACTCATAAATCCCGTCAGAGCTAGAGGAAGGGCCAACCACCTCAACATATCTGCCTGACAATTGTCGTGTAGAAGCTTAAAGTTTCTGAAAAAAACAAAATCTTAGGTGGGGCTGAAATTTTAACCCCAATGTAGGTATTGAGCCCCTCCTCAGCAATCTAGAAAGGAAATAACGGACTCAGAAATTGTTTGGCAAGTTGATTAACATAAAAATTTAACTCTTTGAATCTTTATTTCTATCCTGAATTCTGCGAATTGTTGAGTATTGCTATTATTGGAGGGAATGACTGAGAAATGTACAAAAGAAAGATGCTTGTGGACTGAACCAAACTGCATAATGCCTTCACATGCGGAAAGCCTCTCTTGAGATAATTCTCTAATGCTTCTATGCTTTCTCCATTGACGTAAACTAAAGACTGCATTGAGAACCCTACATTTTATTGCTGTAATTCAGGCCAGTTGTACCACTGGGAATCCCTAGTAACAGCTCCCTCAAACTGGTCGGGCTTAAGACATTTCCAGTTGTCGTTAATGGTGTTTGAAAATGAAAGTAAAAAAGTACTAATGATCACAGGTTAAGTTTTGATCTTTATTCTTATTCTCCTCTGTCTTCTTATGATGCGCCATAATAGAGTTGACTCATGTTTCCCAACATTTTGATGCAAAATACTAAACCAATGTGGAACTTTGATGTAAACATCAGTCAGACAGTTTGCTCCTTTTCAAAGATGAAATAAAGAATGTTCTCACTCTCAGTTTTTTTTTGAAAGAGACTTTCAATTTAAAAGCTGCCTGTGGTTTCTAACCACGTTAAAGTTCCTGGTATGTTGGTTATGGTTCTCACTGTGGTTCTGAGGAGTCGAAATGTATTAGAAATGTTTTTATTAGCCTTCCCTTGATGATAGATCGTCTTTTTGTGATAATTTCACTAATGTTATCATACAGGATGTATCTAAAGGATTTCTTGAGTCTATGGGTCTGACACTAATCAGGCACATATGTGACCCTGCCTATGAAAACCCAGCTAAAGTCATTTTTTGGTGAATCTCAACTTAATGTATAAAACCATTCTACACAATGTTAAGAATGGTTTTATACATTAAGTTGAGATTCACCAAAAAATGACTTTAGCTGGGTTTTCATAGGCAGGGTCACATATGATGTTTGTAAAGTTGGGAAATTAATAATTGAATCTGATTAAAATGTAATTTAACAAAGGCTTCGTTTTCCTTTTCTGCAAACTTGGTAAATCATCTGATAAATGATTCTAAGCAAGTTCTTCTGACTTGATTTAATCGGAAGATATGTGATGTATATTTAAAAAAAAATCGATTTTGGGGAAACTTTTCTCTGATCCATTTTTGGATCTTCATTTGTGTAATGATGACACAAAGTGTGTCAGATTCCTGCCGAGAAATGCCTTCGAGTACTTTCCAGTCGAGTGACAGCAGGCAAACTGGTTTGCTTGCATATTGTGACTGGGAGGGTGAAACTTAAAACTAGTGAGTCGGCTGAATCCAAAATACCATTAACACCAGCGTCTTGGCACAGCACTAAAGATTTGACACCCATGAAAAACCCAGATGTCTCTAAAGGCCGTCATAGGCAGCTGGGAGTTAGAGTGAGTTTCTTGGTTGAAATGGTTTTGGTGTCTGATACAGTAAGTGACCAAACTGGGGTTAGTCTCATATGATAAGTGCTGAAATTCTATTTTATACAATTTGAGGTGGAATGCAGCTAAATTTTTGTCTTTGTTCCAACGCTGCTTTTGTCCTGATTATTGGAAGTATGTGTGCTGAAATTTCATAAGGACGACATGAAATGATATTTAGGTAAAATGGTTTGTTTCATAGGTTAACTCAAACAATCAGAAAGTTTTTTGATTGTTACAAATACAACAAGTTGAACAACAATAAGAAACTGAATCAGTTTTCAACACAATCAGCAAACCAACAGAGGAGAAAGTTCTGCCAAAACTGCTTTAATTCTTTTAATTCTGTCAATTTAGTGTGTTAAGATCACAGCTGACACTGAAACTAATGTGAAACTTGATCATCACATGTTCATATATCTATACATTTAGTAAATGTAAGCTGATGTATTAAAAAAGCAGGTGTGTTGTTCTAAAGGGCAGTTAAACCACAAACAACCATTTATCCATAATTTGGAAAAAAAATTAAATAAATCAGTTAAAAGATATTAATTATAACGTCAACAATATATTAGGCCTGAAACATCTAATTGGATTAATCGTGATTAATTGGCAGTTTCTGTAATACAGCAGAGCCTTGGTTCGTTTATTATTAGGTGTTTTAGTTTTGCAGTTTAAGAGAAGGTTCAGAGGAATTTATGCAGTATTTTTTTTTATTGAGGTGTAGGGTTTAACATTGTGTTTGGGCTGGAAATGGGCAGATCTGACAACCCTGGCAGAAAAGGATTGGTGGAGCTACTAACTATTAGGGCTGAAAAATTCGACCAAAAATCAAAATTGTGATTGTTTTCCACCAATTTTACGACTGCGATTTCATTTTAATTTTCCTTTATACTAACCCCAAGCTTGTAAATGTTTAATCGCAGACTTTCTGTTTTTGAAAGCTTGCTTCAACACTGCAAAAAATGTAAATCTAAATAAGTAATTTTTTCCCAAAATAAGTGCATTTTTTCTTGAACTGAGGTGGTAATTGAGACAATTTGCCAATGGAACGAGACAATTTACATTTAAAATAAGAAAAAAATATAGCATTGTCTTATTTCATGTGCATATTATCTAATTATCTTATTTTCAGAGTAAAAATACTAATTTCATTGGCAAATAATCTTATTTATCTACTCAAATTAAGGGTAAATACACAAAATTTTAGACATTATTACTTATTTCTGGATCGTTTTTGCAGTGAAAGGAGTCCATTGTTCCTGAATTTTAGTGTAACCTTTGTTTCTATAAATGCTTATTTCTACTTGCATGTATGGGTCTGTGTGGTAACTGCAACTCTCTCAACCTTTCTGTGTGGCGGAAAACCCACTAAGAGTTTTAATGCTACCTCAAGAGCTGGAGTGAGAAATTTAGGGTTTTAATCTTGTTAAATATAATTGAACTAAAACTAAATGCCTCTGCAATTATAAAACTTTATAAATTTTATTAAATCGATGTTTTTGCAAATGCAATTAATT